CGTCTGAACTCCCTGTTGAAAGCGTTAATAACGAGCGGTATTTACACTTCTCGGTGGAGCTGACAAAGCACTTCAACAAACAAGGTTCATATTTCCCACTCAAGAGGCAGCAGGCTCATTCATTTCACTCCAGCATAACCTCGAGTTCAAGTGCAGCAATTTGAACTACATCTGTAACTCATAAATTAGATAGACCTCCCCTCCAGTGTGATTGCCAGGGCTGCGCGCAGGCACGCTAGGCAGAGCCTCTCAGGTCCCCGGAAGAGCCAGCCTCAGGGCGGGAGTGAGGAGGCTGGCAGCACCGTTGCCAGTGTCTGTGGGGGCTTTCAGACGCACCTGGTTTCTATTCCTGCACTTTCTCTGAATTGGGCAGGGCTCAGGCAGGGAAGGGTCATTTCACCAGGGAGGTGGCCGGGGCTGGGCAGGGGAGTGAGGACATGGAGCAGCCTGCGTGCAGCCTGTTCTGGCCCGGCCCACGGCTCTCCCTGGGGCCCCGGCTTGCCCCCTGGTTTTAACATGTTTGGGAGCTCAGAGGAGAGGGGTCCTCCCCTGTGGCCAGGGGCTGACAGCTGTGGAGGCCCAGCCAGCAGAGCGGTCGTCTTGGATTTCCTTGTTCGGTTTTCCCCTAAAGGGTTTTGATGAACTCTTCTTGGCCAGTGAGCTCTAGGGGATGATGTAAAGTTCCATGTTCTGTGTTTCTAGAGACCCCAGAAACCTTTCTTCTGTAGATCTTCAAGGGTTTTGAATGTCTGGGAGCCACTGACTTAGAACCTTCAGAAAGCCTATTGCAAAGAACCTTCCTACTGATAGAAGATCCCGACCCATCCCACAGAGAGGAGCTTCTGACGTATTCCACAAGGGCGCCTGATAGGTCCCACCGGTAGATCCCACTGGTAGGATCTCCTGATGGATCTCACTGATAGAATCATCTGATGGATCGCAATGGTGGAACCTCCTGTTAGATCCCCGGGATGGAACTGTGGCCGTGGTTCAAGTGCCTCCAAGGCCCTCTTCCCTCCTCTCCACCTGCATGGCCCCTTTCCTCCTTCACTGAAGAGTAGACTCATGGGGCCCCAGTCTCACAGAGCCCCCCTGGCAGGAGGAAGGAAGGTCAACATTCAGAGAGAGAAAAGAAGTGACGAGGGATTTGCTGAATGTCACCAGGGACTAGGAAGAAGGTTGAAAAGTGTCCTTAAGAGGGAGTGGTCAGAGAAAGAGGCATGGCTCTGAGGAGGGGACGTTAGATCTGGGACATGGAGGTTGAAAAGAAGCAGCTGAGGTGGAAGGTGAGCAGGTGTCAAGGCCCGAGAGACAGGCCGGCTGTCCACGTGCGCAAGGACTGTTGATGGGGCCAGTGTGCCTGAGCTCTGGACGCACAGAGGGAAGAAGACGGGGAGAGAGGGACGGGGGATCACCCAGGTTCAGATGCTCTTCTAGGGTCAACTGAACACCGTTTGAGAGTTTTATGCAGAGAGCTGATAGTGGATTTATGTAGATTTCTGTTTAATTAGAAATGGATGGATGGGTCAAAGGCTGGATGGGCAGTCCCATAGATCTGAGAGATTTAGTACATAATAAATGTAAATGGCTGTTGGTTGGAAGGGGCCCGAACTGGCCAAAGGGTCTTGAGTTGGTTTTGATGGCCAACTAGTTGGAGTGCACGGAGTGCCCTGGACACTTCCAAGATTCTATCTGAAATCACTGATGGATGGGCAGAGGGAGAGCAGAGCTGGCCACTTTGCATGGAGATTTCCCCATCAGGAGACATTCTTCCCTGATTCCTGGAGAGATCTCGGGAATCTCTGCTCTCCCTCTTCACTGTGCTTAGCCCGTGCTGCGGACATCAGGTTGCTGAGGGGCCTGGCGCATCTGCTGCCGAAGCAGAGCCCGCGTGCCCATCTTCCCTAATAACCTCTCGTGTCTAAATTGTCGTGTCCCACAAGGGCGTGTTTAGAAATTAGCATTTGAAAAGAAGCCTCCTTGCTTTCAGCTTGAGCCGACATGGTCCCTTTTCCTCTGTGGAAATGAAATTTATTAATCATAATAAAACCATCGGATTCTGAAGGTAGAGGTCACCCCGAGGAGACAAGGAGCCCTACTCATTTGCGAGGAATAGTTCAGCGCTGCTGTATTTTCTTCCGCCTCGGAAGCGCATACTGCCAAATTGTTACCTTGGGTTTTCTGCAAAGGTTGAAATGGTGCCCAGAATTAGAGTCCAATAAGGATTCACTATTCAAGTACGCAGAAGGAGAAGATAGGGCCTGCATCCTCATTAAGTACATCCACCCTGCCGATATGGCGTCTCCTAAGAACGTGGAAATTTCTGCCACAGTAAGACCATTCTCCAAATTTAAATCTTCATAATAACAATTGTCTTGGATTTGTATCTTCCCACGGCATCTTGGCATCCCTTGATAAATCCCCAGGGGTTTTTATTTTTGCCTTTGTAGTTCACATTCTGTTTGTGTCACCAACTTTGCCAGACACAAAGGACACCAAAAATAATCCCATTCAGAGGACTTTTTGTAGAGCCATGGCAGACTGTTTTCTCAGAAGGGAAGGTCAATGCCGCAGTTATACATGATTTCCTTGTACCCTTCGTATGTCTCCTTGGTTAGTGGGTGGAGGCCCAGGTCTCTTGAGTGGCCACTGTGAATATCTGAGTTCTTTGAGAACCTCCACCCTTCTCTTTTTTTTTAATATTTATTTTTCAGTTGTCGTTGGACACCTTACCTTTATGTCATTTATTTTGATGTGGTGCTAAGGATGGAACCCAGGGCCTCACACTTGCTAGGCGAGTGCTCTACTGCTGAGCCACCACCCCAGCCCTCACCCTGTGCCTGGCTTTCATCTACCCTTCCTCATAGAGAGCAGGAGAGATTGGATGAAAGGCTGTTTTTAGTGGGGACAGATGGGAGGCTGGGGAGTTGGAACAGGCAGGTGTGAACTGGTAGAACCCATCTTCCCATGGGATCCAAGTCTGCGCTTGGGAAGGTGCCCTGCCCAGCTTCCCTCCCCTTCCCCTGCCCCGGGGTCTGAGCAGCCAGGTCAGACCCTCCAGCACTTCCCGGGGCAGGAGGAGGGACCAAGAGCCTGGGAAAGGCAGGACTGAAACCCAGACCTTCCCACCCCCAGCCATGGGCTCTCCCCAGGCCTTGAGTGGCCTCCTCTCTCTAACCAGCTAGTAAGAAGGAGGTTAGAAGGAAAATGGAGAAAGCCAGAGAAGGGGAAGATGAAGTAGGCGCCCACTGGACATCATGGGCGTAAGGTGGCGGTGTGGACAGTGCTCTGCTCCCTGCCTTCATTAAAATAATAAAAAAAAAAAAGTCAAACGTTGAAAACCCACTGAGATCCCACTCGGTGCCTGGCTTTCGGGTGCCCAGCTGCTGCGAGAGATGGCTGCCAATGGAGGAGCACCCTCCCTGCTCCAGCAGACTGCTCTCTGCCCCAGGGAGCCACTCACGGAAGCCCTCCTAATGCTTCCCTAAGGAGCCGACCCACCGGCCGCACCCATAGGATCCAGTCGGAGCCGGAATCCAGCTCTGGCCACGTCCTCTTTCTCTTTTACTCCTGGCTGTGACTTGCTGCCTGCCTCCTGCCCTCCTCTTGAGAGCACCGTCTCCTTAAATCGCTTGCACAAGTCTCCGTGTTGGACTCCAGGCACCTCGCCTAAGAGCCAGTCTCAGCTTTGATTGGCACTGAAATGGCCCCACTCAAAGTACTCCAAGAAGCTAAGTGGCAGGTCAAACCATGAGGGCGTGTGAGGTTGGACAAGAGGCAGCGAGATGCCCTGGGACTCAAGGGTCGGCTCTGATTCTGTCTGGCTGTGTGACCTAGAGCAAGTGAAGGAAGCTCTCTGACCTAGTCTCTGATTTACGACAGGGTTTCATTCTAGGCCCTTAGCAGGCACCCGCCACCTCTGGTTCCATCTCCTCTTTGTTTTTATTTTAAAGCCTCTTCTAGAAGCTACAGCTGCAGAGGAAGAAAGAAGGGAGAAGTAGAAAAACTGAAAGATGAGCCTAAGATACATTGTTTCAAATGCCTTTCTCCCCAGAACCTGGCCAGTGATGGACAGGTGGCACAGGAGGTGATAAGGTCAAAGTCAAGTCAGATGCTAATTCCTGAACGAAGTGGGGTGATGGATGCGTCTGTCCCATCCTGAGACATTGGACGCTAACTGTGCCAACAGCGTCACTTCACCCTTCTGATCCACCCTCTCTGGTTTGATTGGTGACAGGAAAGTTGGGGACATTGGGCTTCTTAAATCTGCTCCTTTGAGTTGTTTCTTCTTGCCTGCCTCCGTCTCTGAGGCAGCTATGACAGCCATGTAGGACAGGTATCATGGTGGGAGGACATATGTGTATGTGTGTACAGCCAGCCACACACCACATAACAGCGCTTCAGTCTGTGACAGACCACATACCCGTCAACAGTCATATACGATCATACCACCTGAGCTGGACATGGTGGTGCACACCCATAATCCCAGCTACTTTGGAAGATGAGGCAGGAGGATCACAAGTTCAAGACCGTGTCTCAAAATGAGATTAATAATAGGTGAGGTGGCTGGGTGTGGCTCAGAGGTAGAGCACTTGCCTAGCGTGCATGAGGTCCTGGGTTCAATCCCTGCCACAGGAAAAACAGTAGAAAGACTGTATACCACATGGTGACCTCAAGGTCAAGTTCGTTGGTATGTACAGTACACTGTACGATGTTCCAGCAACAAGACCACCTAACAATGCATTTCTCAGAAACTGTTCCATCATTAAGCAGTGCCTGACTAGGTATATGGGACATGTCAGGGTGACCCGCTATGTTCGGTGGACCAAAGAGTGCATTGAGCACAGATAGCTTTGTCCGTTAACGCGGCAGATAGAATGTTTCTTGCCTTAAGAGGAGTAGGACCCCCGCACACTGCCTTGGTATTTCGTGTTTTGTGATTGGCATCATCGCTTTGTGATTGCACGTGACGGACCAGTCTCCACCTGTTTTCCTTGCAGTTACGGACGAGTTTATGCTGCCGACCCCTACCACCACACACTTGCTCCAGCCCCCACCTACGGCGTTGGTGCCATGGTGAGTACCGGCTCCTCCTTGTCCTCACTTCTTCCTGCCTCCCTTCCCTCCCCCAGCTGGGACCTTCGTCTGAGTTGACGGTTGACGTCCTCTCACTTTCCCTTAATTGAATTTGTCTCTTGTGCTAACAGCAGCTAAAATGCCACATTAATCCTCCCGGTAAACTTGATAAATGTCTTAATTTCTTGGCAATGTAGTGCATGTAAGTTATTATATTTCTAATTTTGCAAGTCTCACCTAGCGGAGCACTTACCTTAATGGAATAATTAGTCATTTTGATAATTAAATCCATCACTAACGGAATGCAGTGTCAATGCAGAACTTTTTTTTTTCTTTTTTTTTTCCCTCCCTTGCTGCTCATTCACATAGCCCCAAGGTTCCAGCCCCAGCACAGACTTCAGAGGAGCTAAGCTGCACACTTCCAGGCCTCTGCTGTCAGGCAGCTGAGCATCTGCCTGCCTCTCCTCCCCTTTTCCAATTCATGTTTAAAGTCATAGTCGCCCAGGAAAGAAAATAGACAGAGGGGCACACTTTGTGTGTGTGCCTAGTACATAAGAAATTAGAAGGAATCAGCTGGGTTTGGGGGTTGTCTTTTGTTTTTGGTGGGGGGGTCTGGGTTTTTGTTTGGGGAAGGGTGAGGGGGAGGGCAAAAGTGGGAGGTGAGGGTGGGTGAATTTGCCTGTACTTGTTCAAACTTCTATGCACTAAAACTCTTGAGTACAGTCGAGACGTGCCCATCATGTGAGAGCGTATGCAATCATTACAAAGCTTTGGCATGCAGTTTTCTGCTTGGATCAAGAATATCAGTCCTTATCCTAAAAATAAATTCCCATAGGCATTCATTGGAATCGCCAGTACTTTTAGAAAAATGGTTAAGTGCCACCTCATAGCCATTTAAAGCCAGGGCCAGACAATTCCCTGGAGCTGGGTCGTAGACCCCCAACCGGGATCTGGATACATACTGTTTTGCCCAAGCGTAACTACATGAAGCAATGCACCTGGACACGGCCCTCCCGAGATCAGGTTCCGTGCCGATTGCTCTAAGAACCAGGTTTAGGTTTTCCTCCTGGCCCTGCATTCAACAGCTCCACTTCCACACCTGGTCTACCCGAGGATCGTGTTGGAAAGGAGGGTTGAATCCCTACCTTCAGTAGCCCTCTAGCTCGGGCTTTCCCCAAGGGAACAGAGTATTAGTCGATGGATGAGCAAACGAACACCAGGAGACAGTGCCAGTCCTTCCGATGGCCGGAGTCCCCTGCAGCTGACAGGACTCGACCAGAATCTGGTTTTCCCGGGGTTTTCTTTCTAAGGATCTTTTGGGGGGGGATTGGTCAGGCCTAGCCCTGTCTTTAGCTCTCCAAGAACGGCCTGGGATGGGTAGGGGTGCCATTTTGGTTGGTTTGGAGTGTCTCGTTTTTCACATTAGACTTTTTTTGATGATCCACATGTTGCAAAAGGAAAATGTAAAAAACACACCCCTCAAATTGCTTTGTTTCAGAATGCTTTTGCACCCTTGACTGATGCCAAGACTAGGAGCCATGCTGATGATGTGGGTCTCGTTCTTTCTTCATTGCAGGCTAGTATATACCGAGGGGGATACAACCGTTTTGCTCCATACTAAATGACAAAACCATAAAAAATCCTTCCAATGTGGGGAGAAAGGAAGCTTTCCGAGGCCTGAGTATTGCAATACATGCAGTAGTGCATCATTTTAGCAACTCTAAAGAATAAAAAAAATAAAATAAAATAAAAAGAGGGAAAAAAATTACATTTTTTATCTTATACCTCAGATATTTTGTTCTGTGTATTTTAATATTGTGGGTCTTTAATTTCTGAAGGTTCTGTAGTTTGGTTGCTGGCTGTAGGAGTTTCTGTGGTTGATCTAGAGAGACGCTAGATATGAATAAAAACTGGTTTAGGGCCATATCCAGAGTGCTATATTATTGTAAATGAATTATATATGCTGAATACAAAGCTACTGGGGGTAAGCTGTTTGGGAAGAGTGTAAGTGACTACCGTAGTCCTTCTTTTCTGCATCTGCATTATTTTATTTTGTGAAAGGGAAGGTTGGGAGGGGCTTGGGGTGTGGGACTCGGGGTTTGGTTGAAAGGAAAAAAAAAAAGACAGAGTGACTAATGACTCTAAATGACCCACGGCACTAACCATCATGTATCAGTGGTTCTAAGTTACCCATTGCCAGTTCAAGCCAAAGGTCATGTGGTTAAGGGGCTGCTTCTAGTGGCACTTGGTCGACAGAGTCGAACAAAGCTGGGCAAACCCACCCTTTAAACCATTCCACCCAGCCACTAGTTACTTAGGCAAAAGCTACTAGTTAGGCCATCAACAAGCATTCTTTTTATATTTCTTCCAGTATAATAAATTATTGATATCATTGCTGACTTTTATATTACGGGAGGGAAAAAATAACATTAATAAAATGGTGATAAAAAGCACTGTTTCTATTTTTTTCTTTTTTTCCAAAAAAAGAAAGTAATAAAAACTTAAATTCTTTGTACCAGTTAAAAAAATGTATAAAATTTACATCTGTGCAGTGGAGTTGTTGACTTCTAGAAGCAGTCTATGAAGCTTTAGTTTTAGCTTAGTAGAACAACTGTTAGAGACAGACGTATAATTTTTATGGAATTACACGATAATCATATTCGGATTTATAGACGCATTTTACAAGTATTGCAATCATCGAGTAGAGATAATCACGGTATTTTCATCAGCTTGGTACTTTTTGAAACACGACTGCGTTTTGTGAGCAATCTGCAATTTTTCGGTCCGTGGGAACCTGCCCTTCCGCCTCTCCCCCCAAACCCCAGGAATCTCTTAAACCAGTATCTTTAGTTCTGTCTCCAAGGCCCAGGACATTTGTCAGAAGGAAGCAAAAACAAAACAAAACAAAACAAAAAAAGACTACTAGATCCACCCTCTTCATCCCCCAAAGAGCAAAGTCCCCTACCCTTTCTGGGATGCAGGGCCAGAGGGACACAGCCAGAAAAATTGCAGTTTGTCTGTAACTTCTTCTGTTTGAACTCTTCCCATGTTGTCCTGTTTACAAGTTAACCTAAGTTGGGGTATCTGTCACGGGTCTTCCTGTTTTTGTATTTGAATTAAATGACAAGCAGCAGCAAGCTGTCCCCGAGTAGTTCTGCTGCCATCCTTAAATCCTCACATGTGCAGTGCTGGCCCCCAGGGCTGGCACTTTAGTGTTATCAACTCTCTGCTGTGAACCTGCCAATCTGCTGTAACAACTCTGCTTTAAGACAAAAAACCAAACAAAACTTTAAAAAAAAAAAAGTGTTTGTGATCCAGAGCTTTTCCTTGTCCTCTTATGTGCATGCCGTAAGATCAGTTGGATATTAAACCATCAATAAAGTTTCACAAGATTTGAAAACAAAGTTTCTGTAGCTTCCATATCTAAGACAGACTAGAGTGATCTGGAGGTGGGAGGGGGGGACTTCTGAGCAGCCAGGAACATAGAAATTGTCCTTTCGCCAGTCTTCTTTGGGTGGGGGAGGGGAGGGGAGGGGGCGGGGGTGTTTCTCAGCATCACTGAGAAGGTCTCATCCCCACCGGGAAAGCACTGAGATGCCAGTGGGTACCGCCTGGTTGAGGTTATTCACGGAAACCATTTATTCCAATGCTATAGCATCCTACCCCAGAGGGGGAAAAGACAGTAGGAACAGAGGGCTGGGAAGGATAAATAGATTTCTCCCAATGGCCTCAGATGTCAAAATCCAGAATTTGCATTGTATTTGGAATCACAAACATAGAATTCTTACTGTGTTGGTTAAAGTAAAATTCATTTGCAGTTTTGATTTCCATCGATGGGCTGTACTTTTCCCCCATGATCGTATGTAGTTTTAATAAAAATCACTTAGAGCAAGTGGGTGCCAACCGATGTTGCAGAATCGTTTGTCTTAGGCTCTCTGCCAAGATGCCAATAAGTCATTTTAAAATGTATGTCAGAGATGTAAACAAACATTTTGGATTTCTTTTTTAAATCAGTACTTACTTGGAATGTTTTCATTTATCTAAATAACTATTGCTATTATGAATTATGGAAAAAAATGATTAATATCATGTGTGGCATATGGTGACTTCTTAACACACATCACGCAGTCTGCAAACCCAGAAAATGTGTATATCTGTCTTTAGAGATTAGTGTTTATATCACTTACAGTGGTTTGTGAATAAAGAAAACTGGTTTGTAATATCAAAAAAATAAAAGATTAGTCTGAAAAGGTTCCTGTGTGTGCGTGCGCGCGTGTGTGTGTGTGTGTGTGTGTATTCTGAGTTCTTTTTCTTCTCTGGGTCGGAGGAGAGATCCTCCACTCCCGGGACTGTACCTGTGCCCATTAGGGTGCTCGGGGTGGGTGCTGCCCAAGGCATGCTGGGCTGCCAACCAGGTGGCCCCTGCAGGTGCTCGGCCTGTCTGCCCAGAGAGCTGTCCTTTCTCCCTCATCTTTCCAGGAAAGCCGGTGGAATTAACCACAAATGTTGAAGACACGAAATCTAAGTCCACTAAACTGAGCTGTTCCTCAGCAAGGAAAGGGCGGCCCGCTTGGACGCAACCACGCTGTAGGCTGCAGTTCAGTGTCTTAGCACAACGTTTCCAGGGGCCTTTTGGGGATGGAGAAGGTGAAAACAGAACGAACCTTAGATTTTGCACGTATCCAGGACTTGCTCTGTTCCGAGAGACTTTCTGTGGCTTCTCGTATTGTTTATTTCATGTAATTATTTATACCTCCCACCAGGGTTTAGCTATCTGGCCCATTTAGCTACTTAAGCTTTCCTTAAATCCTGCCTCATTTAATTATCATAATAGTTCTATCGAGTTCAAAACACGTGGAAATCTTAAAAAACAAAAAAACCTAGTGGGGTCTGAGTTTACATCTGGATTCTGTCACATGCCAGGTGTAGTCCAGGACAAAGTTACACAGGGCACTGTGCCTCAGTCTTCTCTTCCCTGGTTCATGTTCTAAAAAGCACAGACTCTCAATATTGTAATGCAGATAAGCAAAAATGATCTCTGTCAGGTGCTTGCAGCAATACTGCAGGATCCAAAATCTGTTAGTATTCGCAGGCTTAGGAACAGAGGCATGACGATGTTAATGCCACTAAGATCAGGGAGCGAGCAGCAAGGCTAGGGTCACCTCAATTGAAAGGGAATTTTTGCGTGGCCAGCAGGAGCTGGTGGGGTGTTACCAGAAGACCCTGGAGGACTTTTGTTCTCCCACTCCCTTCCCACACCGAGGCTGTCCTAATCACGTGCATTCTATCATTTCAACTATGCAGTGGGCCCTTCTCTGTAAACCTGTGATCCACAGGACTGTGGCGCTCACGGTCAGCAACATCGCACTAGGTCAGTTGATCCTTAAGGATGCCATCGCCCTTACCTTTATCAATGAAGTCAGCAAGGACCCAAGAGATCACGTAGTGTGATCAAAGTCCTCGCTAGTCCCCGTTGAGGTGGGCTCCACACCAAGATCTGTTTATCCCTGAAATCTGTGCCCCTTCCGGAAACTCTCCTCTATCGATAATGAAGGTGGCAGTGGTTGTGTTGAGCCTGGGTTTCTAATGCTCATCTTACAACATATGGACGGATATCGTGTTTAAACAAGGAAGTCATGAACCTTACACTGGCAGCCGGCAAGAGGGAGATCATGTAACTGAGCCCCTTCTCCATTACATGAGGATCTAGCATAGAAATTTCACATGAATCATGGAGAAAATTTAAAATGATGGCAGAAGGGGACAGGTTTCTTAAAAAACAAAACAAACAAACAAACAAAAAACTTGACCAGTGGACCCCAGTGCTTGTCTTCCTGCCCCATCCTCCACCTAGAGGCGAGAAACTAAGGCCAGAGGAAGCCCACAGTGTGCATAAACAGAAGCTGTTGGTTATATCCAAAATGTGCTTCTTAAAGTGAAATTAAAAAAAAAAAAAAAAAGCAATGCAGCTGGATCGGTGAACTGGGTCCCAATTTCCCACTCCGCCCCCAACCACTTTCCTCTTCCAGAAGCGGCCATATTTGAGTTGGGCCTTTCAGGATCCCAGATGTGCAGGCACCGAGACACACTCAGACAAAAGCCTGGTCTGCTGTGCTGCTCTCAGGTACAGCTGGTGAGCCGTGGGAAGGGAAATTGTGGCCCCTCTGCTTCCTGCACTCCCAGGATGAGAGCCACCATGGTGTGGGTGCCTCTTCCAGGGAGCTTTGGGACTGAATCCCCTGCTGGGACATTTACGGGGTGGGAGTGGGAGGAGCTGGCGGCCCTGGGCCAGGGTGTGTGCCTGGGAGGGTGGAGCTGCCCATGCCCACACGCACCAGCACATACCTCCATGGGCCTAGAAATTGAAGCGTTTCTCAAACTCTCTCCTGAAAGACTCTGATTATCTCTCCACTAATAAAGTCAAGAACCAGGACTGAAAAGAAGGAGGAGAAACAAAATAAGAAGTCAATTTTCTGTTGGGAACTATATAAAGGTGGGTTTTGAGGGTAGTTCTTCTGATTTTTTTTATAATGTATATGTACAAATATTTATACCTGGACAATTCTAGGTAAGATCTCGGTGTGCAACCTTTCCATGAAGGTATAAATTATAATCATGCAGTTGCTCGGGATTCGACCTGATGCTTGATATTGGACCAAGGGCAGTTCCTATCAACCCGAACCAGAGTACTTCAACTCATGGGTAAGACCGTGGCTTCTCCCGGTGGCCATGCATGGTCCTGGAGGATGTAGACTGGGCATTAAACAGTAACAGTCACCCTGAGGCACTTTGCTAAGGTCTATTTCCAAGATTCAGTCTTGTTTCATATGCTGTGCACTAATTGCTCTCCTGGAAAATGAGGGGGGAATGGGGTGTTCCTGCAGTGTCCCTGGATAATAAAAGCTGATCTGATCATGGCTGTCTGGCCCAGAGAAAGGAATTTACCAGTTATCTGGAAGGGATGTTATTCTCTGGTAGCCAGATGGTATTGTGATGCAAACATTGACCAGTCTTTTAAAACTAATAGTGGCATTTCCCAAAGGGAACAGGTGTAGTCACTTGCATGAAGAATAAAATGAATAACAGCTGACATGGTTCAAGGACATGGGTAGGCACGCCACACAGCGCGGGTGCTTTACACATTTCTGAACATGTAAGTGTCCATGACTCATATGTCGACATTTAGCCCATCTCTTAACCTCTCTGTACGTCAGTGACCTCATCTGTGAGATGGAGACAATACCAGGACCTAACTCATGGTCCTTGTAACATATGTCCCTCTGTTCTTATGACATGGAGATGCATGAAAACATGCTCAACACAGCCTGGCAGGTAGTGTTTTCCCTCTTTCATTAGAAATCATTTCTGTATCTATCTGAAGAGCACATAGCCATATATTACTTTATGGATTCACATGATATATCTTTTCCTTATCTGCATGATATGTGATATGTTTATACATAGAGATCTGTGCAGGTGAAGACATGTGAAATAAACATAGGCATACGTGGACACAGAATACCTTTTAACATTAGCTTCTTCTTATGCATTCATAGAACCATAATACACACACACACACACACACACACAGTCGGACCATAAATACATATGATAATGCTTACAGTGCACTTAGGAATAATGTGATCGGCAAATGAGACTTGTTACTCTTCTTCCTGTCTGAACGATGATCTTACTTCTCCCCCACAACCTGAGCAGGCAGGTGTATTATTGCCCCAGTTTACCCGTAGGAACAACAGGAGGCTCAAGCCAGCTGGGGGTGTGTCCTGGGGGCACGGTTACCGACATCAGAGTTGAGTCATGGCCTTGGCTGGGTGACCCAGAAGTCTCTCTGTGCACACTGAGCCGTGCCTCACCTGCACCCTGCTGCAGCCCAGGTAAGCAGTTTGTCCCACTGCAGAGCTTGCAGGCATCGGGGATCCCAAGGGCCCCTCCCTGGCACTACACTCAGAGGCTTAGCTCAACAATGGCCTGAGGAGCTCTGGTTTAGGTGGTGGGACACCAGGAGGGTGGGCCCCAGGGCTGCCTCCGAGGATGCACCCCACCCATCCAGGATTCTCCTCCAGAGCTCAACATATGCCTGTGACTTTGACATCCCAGCTCTCTGACTGCAGTGGACAGATGGATTGTTGCCTGAATGAAGCAAAAAGTCAGCAAGAAGAAGAGAATTCCCCAGGCTCCCCCCCCAAAAAAAAAAAATACAAGGACTTTGGGTAAAAAAATAGAAAAGCAGAGCCCCAGAAATTGGGGTCACGGTGGAAACGTGGTGCTGGGGGCAGGTGAGGCTGGGAAGTACCAGAGTGCCCACTGGGAGCTCATCAGCATGCGGGCTCCAGCAAACCTGAAGAAGAAGGTTGAGTCCCCCACCCACACACCCCCAATGAAGATCTGCCTTGACGCAGACAGCAGTGACTGCCGGCCCGAAAACCAGACCCGCCCGCATCGGGAAGTCTCACTCTGTGCAGCCGCACCAGGAAGTTGTCTAGAGCTGAAAAGCAGGTCAGAGGCAGAGCACAGAGCTCCACTTTTATCTCCCCCAAACACTCCCCGACTGATGAGCAGCATTGAAATTCATTCCTCTAAGGAGGCTGCAGCCCAGAACCGGCTCTGCAGGACGGGCTGTCAGCTGAGCTGGGGGGCTGCGGCTGCTTTTCCTAAACTATGGGACTAGATGATGTATTGTTCTTGCTATTTCCCTTTGTTCAAAGCTAGGTTCTCCTCCTCTCACCCCAAAGGCTGTGTGTGTGTGTGTGTGTGTGTGTGTGTGTGTGACAGAGAGAGAGAGAGACAGAGACAGAGACAGAGAAAGAGGGGGGAGACACAGAGAGAGAGAGAGAAAGAGAAGGAGGCACCTGTTTTATGAATCAAAGAAGTAGAAAAGCTGGGGGGAAAAAATCCACAAAATTCTCCATTTGAGTTAAACCATTCCCACACTGAAATTCAAAGCAGATTCCGCCCGGCCTGGTGGAATAAAAACATAAAGGTCTCCTTTTTAAAAAATTAGATTATCACCACTTTAAAGCAAAACAAAATGACTCGTGGAAGCTCACCGGAGCTGACAGAAAGGCAACAGATAACTTGTTCCCATTAAACCACCAATGACCCAGGATGCAGCCTCAAGAATGGAAAAGCGGAGACGGACGTTTGGTGGTTACAGGAAATTTTTTTTTCTTTCTTTCTTTTCTAAACTTCTAGTTGAACTTGAGTTTGGATTCTGTCTTTGCTATCTTTCTCT